AAAATAAAAGCAGTGAGTGAGAAGATTAGGGGGAAATGGGATCATGAGTTTAATCTCTGAGGTATCTGAGAACAGATAGATACCTTTACGTACAAATCCTGTCTTTGATGGGTGCCCTGTGGAGTGATCTATGGTTATTTGAGGTGAAACCCGCATATACTATTACCACTAAAAGGACTGAAGCAACAGATTCAGCATCTCAAGACTGAGTTTAAAAAGAAAAGCAGATTAATCAGTTACATTTTGATCATGAAAACTGATTTGTTTAGAGATTGAGTGCTCCAAGTGAATGTATTTAAGGTACTTGTTACTAGCATTTTTATATTTCCTCATACCTAAAATTAGTCATCACTATTTCCTGCTAATTGTCATGACATAAGAATTAAAAATCATAAAGAATGTGGTGCATTTCAGAAAATACTCTTTTGGCATCTGTCCAACAAAGTGGAGATATAAAAAAGGAAATTTTTTTATTTGAATAAAGAAAAGAAAATTTTTAAAAAACCAAATAGAAAAAAGAGAATACAGAATTGTGAAAAAAAGTTGTCATAAAATCACTAGTTGATACATTGCATATTGTCATCTTAGCAACAGCTGTTAAAGTTACAAAATCAAAGCATAAAAAGTGGCTAGACACTCAAAACATTGAGAGTGCGAACTCTTCTGTTCAGTGATCTAACAAAAAATTAGTAACATGGTCATCAATCTTACACATTACACATACCACTAGGTCCGTTAGAGCCCTTTCCTTCCCTTTCACTTTTACAATATCTATTATACTTTTTGGATCCCATTATTCTGTCAGTTCTTGTTATTTTTTACACTAGAGAGATGATGTGATATTTACTAATGTGTCTTGTTTATTTCATTAATGAGGATATTCTCAGGTTGCCTCCATTTACCTATAAAAGCCTCAAGATCATCCTTTTTTATAGCCGAGGAATATTCCATTGTATAAAAATACCACATTTTTTTCATTCTCTCTGCATTTGATGGTCATTTTTATTGTTTCCAAGATTTAGCTGTCACAAACTGTGTTGCTATGAACGTGGTGCACATATATTACTGTGACATGACCTTCTCAATTTTTCTGGGAAAATACCCAGGAGGGGAATAGCTGGATTGAATGGAACCTCCAATCCTAGTAAAAAAGGAATATTTAAAAATTCATTGAAGTAGTTTCCTACTCCTTCCCCCTTCCCGTGGCCTTACCATTAACATCAAATGTCAAAAGTCTTGAAAAGATGAAACAATATTTTTTTTAAAAAAAAACTGAGATGGTATACTTACTTTATCCATTTCTTTTATATGAGAAGCCCAAAATATAAATATGAACAAAATGAAAGATAAGATACAGGAACCTGGGAGATAGGTCTTTTGCAAAATGGAAGGGACCAAAAATGAGGGGGGCAGATAAAAAGAACTGAGATGTGTTTTCTACACTACCAGCTCCCCCCATGGGATGTGCTACACACATATACGAATAGAAAATTGTTTTTACAAAGCAAAAAATAAACTGGGATGAAAACTTTGTAAAATTATTTTGCCGAATGTGGAGAAAGCACAGGCATAATTCTGCCGTGGAAACACAGTAAGACACAGTTACTCAGAATGAGAACTCAGATGTCCTCATATTGGGGGTGCCGTGGGAGGGGCTGGCCTCGGGCTGGTGAAGACTTGGCTGGGAGGGTTGAGTTCCTAATGGTGCAGTGAGTCACTGACCTTCACCTTTGCATCACTGAAGATGAGACTGTGCAGTGACTGGGCACTTACTACATGGTTTGATTATTACTACTGTAAGTTATGGACAGTTTTTAGACTCTCTGTTCTACTCAAATTTCTAAAAGCATTTCCACCTTTAAAATGTTAGACGTGAGCGTAGCCATCCTGACTGGCTCTTTCCTAGCCTCACCTTTATGGAACAAACAACAACAAGTAGAACTAACTGAGGGACAGGTTGGGGCTCCCCAAGTAATTGCCACATTTATTTTCCAAAAATTAACTAAAAATGAGGCAATGTGCGTTTATAGGTTATGCTAAGATGCCAGAACTAAGCAGATAATTTACCTATCTGAGGCCACAGTACGTGAGTGGGATTTGATATTATGGCTAGCTGACAGTCCCAGTGTGTAGGTCGTTCTTTATAAATACCTGCAGTGAAAAGTGGTCTAGAAAAGCCTGTTTTGTCCCAATCCCCCCCCCCCAAAAGGGTGCACACAATTGTGTTTGGAAGAAGACTTGCGGGAAATCACCTCAAATGTCTCTGTTGTGTGATTTGATAGCCACATTGCCTTTTCTTTTGAAACTGATAGTTTGTGCTCATTGATTGGCTTTAAATAAAGTCCTTTCGTAGATTTCTGAGTCACCTGGAAATTGCATGACTCCTTTGATTTTTCACTCCTCTTGTTTGAGATACTGGAAGGCGGTTTAATTCCTTTGGGCTTCTATTTTCTTAAGTGCAGCATCAGAATGACTTTGTGCTGTTTAGAGATGAATAAATGGCCAGGAAGAGTCCGTGGGCTGTGGGCATCAGGCCCAGGCGCACTGGGCCACTTGTCCCTGTGTTGTCATTGACCTGTTTAAGGGCATCATGGCCAAGAGCTGCTCTGATTCCCACCTGAATCAGGACTGCACGTGTGAAATGCCTGTCACGGTATCTGGCTTGATGAACTGGGATGGTGGGTCTGTAATAGTAGTAATAGTCATTACCATCACTTTAAAAAAAGTTATTATCATAGAGATGAGGTCACAGTACACTGCTCCCTTGGGTTTAGAGATCCCGCTCTGGAGCAACCCTCTCACCTCAGCCTCCAAGCTCTGGGGGAATAGACACGCAGGACTGTGCCCAGGCTGTGGGTCTCTCTCTGTCCGGAGTTCCAGGACAGCAGCACGCGTGAACGGAATCAGTTGCCCAGGGTTCAGAGTCAGATTTAACTCAGTCTCCAGCATCTGGGCCCTTGAACATCACTTTCATTGTAGATAGTTTGGGGAGTGAAGTTGGGTTTTTTTGTTTTGTTTTGTTTTTTGAGATTTGTTATTTACTGAATCCTGGCACTATATTGCATAGAGGCACTTCATTCTTAGTGGAAAAATATTTCCAAGTTATATTTTAAAACAGGTTAGTGTTTATTTTATTCTGAAAACATGTTTCTATGGCTGGGGATTTAGCTCAGTGGCACAAGTACCTGCCTGGCAAGCACAAGGTCATGAGTTTGATCCCTGGTACCAAAAAAAAAAAAAGGAAACTTAGGAAAATATGTTTGTGAAAAGGCACATTTTCTCTTGTGTGTGGATTTGTACACAGTTGAATCAGAGAGACACTCCTTAACTAAGTAACTGCTGGGCTGGCCCATCAAATGGTAGTCTGGGTGGTTCTTAGGCAGTAGGGTAAAAATGTTAGTTTGACATAGCAGTTTATTTCCCATTGTTGTATTTCTCAAATGTAGCAACTGCATAGTTCATTTCTGTCCTCATATATGCTGCTACTTTTGTGACTGAAGACAATTGTAATGTCTTACCTAATGATTTGTACAATGTTACATCCAAAACTTACCCTGATGTATTAATTTTTTAATTCATATTGTAGCAAAACATTGCTGTATAATTTAAAATCACACTGTACAGGAAAGTGTAACTAATAACATGAATTCAACAGGATCTATTAATTTATATCTTATCTTGACCTGTGCTACGTACTTTTTATAATCAATATAAAGTTGAGTACTTCAGGGACATTTGAAACTCAAAAGACAAACAAGGAAAATGACTAACGTGTGATGCACTTTGTTAGTACTGTGTATATTTAAAGGGATTAAAGATCTCGAAATGCTACTTGCAGTAAAATTCAGTGAGCTGCTGTGATGATTTGCTAGCTCAGATGATGTTTATTAGACAATGTTTATTGGACAAGAAGTGTGCAGTCGCTAGCATTCCATAGAAGCATGACAAGGAGAGTTCTCTTGCCCTTCAGAATGCTGGACTGTAACCATTCATCAGCTTCTGGGGGAAGGTAGCAATTTTTGTTTGTTCAGAATTTGGCCTGGACATACAAAAATTTCCTTTTTTTGAAATGCTCTAAATCAGATTAGCAACCTGCCAAGATGTATATCATCCACTTTGTGGACTTCTGTCAAGAAAGGAAAGTACTTCATCTGTAAGAGCAATTTTACAAAGTACAGGATTATTTTTCTTCTCCTATTACCATGACAACCATGAGGAACTAGGAAAAGGAGTGACAGCGTCTGGGGCGTGGCCACCTTCAGAACCCGGGTGCCCTGTGGCAGCTTGTGCCCACGCCATGGTGACGACCCACAGCTTTGTGGTTTAGAACTTTCTTCCTGGTGCACTGACTTTCCCTTCGTCATGACCCAGGGTCCCCAAGCCCTTGTGACAGGGCAAAGCCTGGAGAGAGGAGGGGTGTAGGGTAGCACTCTGCCAGCTTCAGGCCTGCAGCGGGTCCCGTGGATGGAGTGAACCAGAGCACCCAGGAAGCTCGGTTGGGCCAGGACAGCCGCCCTCCTCCGGGAAGGCTGGAGAAAAGCTCAAGGTGCTTTGCTCTCCACAATAGTGTGAGAGGCAAGCAACAGCCACAAAACTCAAAAGCAAATACTGCCTGCAGTCTTAGCATAATCATTTTTAAAAGTTTACACCCTGATCTTGTTATCAAAAAAAAATTTAATAGTTTTGGAATTAACTGTGTACCTACCATTTAGGAACAATGTATGACTGTATTTTTATTTACAACCAACATGGCACCAAAAGAGATGTATCTGTATCTTTAAGTATTGAAGCTTAATACAATAGAAATGACAGAGATTGTGTGTGTACGTGTGTGTGTGCGTGTGCGTGTGTGTGTGTGTGTGTGTGTGTGCGTAACATAAAGCCACGTGTGTCTGTGTGCCGGTTTACATATGTAGAAAATACAAGAACCACTGATTGATATAATTGCCATTCTGTTCAGGAGAGAGACTGACTCCGGAATGTTTTGGTATCATTCGCAGATAATTACTACGGTACCCCAAAGCCTCCAGCTGAACCGGCACCCTTATTATTAAATGTAACAGACCACATCCTTCCGGGAGCCACTCCAAGCGCCGAAGGGAAACGGAAGAGGAACAAATCAGTGAGCAACATGGAGAAGGCCAGCGTAGAGCCTCCGGAGGAGGACGAGGAGGAGAGGCCCGTGGTCAACGGGAACGGAGTGGTGGTGACGCCAGGTTGGTTCTTCACGGTCTTGGTGGGCTCATCACTTTGCTGGTTCAAATGTCAACATTTACATACATGTAAACTGTGTGTGTATGTGTGCATGTGTGTTCATTGCATCTGGGTATGCAGGTGCAAATACATTACAATTATCTTCAGAGAGAAAAGATTGTAGTGTCCAATGCATATGACATGATTCTTGTATCCAACTTAGTAGCTCTAATTCTAATATATTCATTCATTTTCTTTAATTTTTGGTTTCACTTGTATAATAGTGATTAATGGTAATTCATGGTGATTCAGTAAATGGCTGATGGCTCCTAGAAGGATTTATAGTTCATGAATATTACTATGTAAAGTTGTGAGGTTTTTTTCAAATAATGCTTAAGAAACTATATTCTTGAAGTGCTACATACAGTTTTACTTCTTACACATATTACTAATCGAGCTCCAAAAATAACTTCTTAATAATACTATTCATTAATAAATGTTACCAAAACAAACAGAAAAATCATGCAATTCTCTGACCCTCATGAAATAAGTTTTCAACATTTTTATTTACTTACTTTTTCATAGTGGTAAATCAGCCAGCCTTAAAAATCTAGAGCCGTGTTAGTGCTCTGGAAGAATATGTTAACATATATACCTTGAGTACGCATTACTCATCAGACACTTCTTGCTTATTTTGATATCACTATTTTTTTACTTTTCACTGGGCTACTTCTCTACTGGCTTAATATTTGAATTTTCATGGCTCAATTACTCTTATCAAAGGAAAGCTTTGCAAGCTTTCATCTCCGTTTTTCAAAATACTTGTGAAAAGTGTTCACTGAACATAAAAGTGAACGTTAGGAGACCAAGTCTAATCTGTGTCCATCAAGATGTAAAACCTTAAAAGGCAGCTTCATTCTGATTACCTGGGAGGACGACTGGGTACAAAGGCATCCCTCCACAGAGCAGCACGGATTGCTCAACTCAAATGCCACAATCATGGTGAGTGGCTCCCGCGACCTGGCTATTACAGTGTCTTGCAGTGATTTGTCACCTTCCTCTTTGATTCTGAAGTATCTATCAAAATATTTGCTTTTCATGGTGTAACTAAAATTAATTTAAATTTTAAGCACATGGTTTTTGTGGTTGATCTTTGATGTTAGGAAGCAAAACATCCCTGTGAAGTTAGGCGAGAGACTATGGCACAGCACATCTTACGGGCTCACACCGCTGGGTCCAGATGTGAAATAGATCTGCAAGCTAAACCCACATGACTGATTTCTTTTCTATTTCTTTTGCTACTCTCTCTTCTCCTCTCCTCTCTCCTCTCCTCTCCTCTCTTCTCCTCTCTTCTTGCTTGCCTGTTTGTTTCTTTCTTTCTTGGTGTGTGGATGGAATTCAGGGCCTGGCAAATGCTTTACCGCTGAACTACAGTCCTAGCCATTTTTAACTCCCACTATACAAAGCAAATGGTTTTGGTTCACAATTTTTTTTTTTTGAGACTTGATCTCATTAAGTTGCCCAGGCTGGCTTTGAACTTCTGATCATCTTGCTTCAGCTTCCTCTTAAACTAGCAACTTATTTACCCAAGAGGCAGGAGGATAATGTACCAGAAAGCGTATTCCCGTCTGCACCTCTGATATGAGCGTGGGGCAGTTTCATGGCAGGAGGTTTTGGCAGTCCCCAGAGAAAATGGTCTGAATTGAACCCTTGTTGACAACCCCTAGCAGATGACCGTCTCTGCGCCTCTCAGCCTGAGCAGGTGAACAGTTGGCCTGTCCAAAATGCCACTGAGGGAGATGGGCCTCCCACAGCCTGGCTGGGCACACGAGCCTCGGCATCTGTTTCTTCCCTGTTGCTGAGGATGAGAAAGGTGAGTTAGGCCATGCTTTAGCCGGTGTCCAAAGATGAGCAGAACAGCCCCAAAGCAGAAAACAGGCCCATCATCCCTCAGTAGAAATCTTTGACCCTCCCATCTTTTAAATCTTTGTTTTTCATTAAGTTTATCCAATTGAGACTTCGAAATTTCCTTGGCGGTCCCTCTTAGGCATTTCTCAGTAACCTGCATTTGAAACCTTTTCTTTTCTACACAAACTTTGTCTTCTTCTGGTCAATTCACCAACTGCAGGTTTTAGTGAATCCTGAGAAAACAGTTGCTTTTATTTGCACCACCCCTCCTCTGTTGACTGGTAACTTGTAGGGAGAAATCTCACACCTTAATTCAGTGCACCAACATTGTCATCGTTGGGGCACCTTTGGACATTGAGAACACTTTACTGATTTTATTATAAAAGAATATTGATAATAGTAAGGAATAAGATAATGAGATTATGTTGAATGCTTACCATGTATTGGAAACTATTTGACCTCACTATAAATATCAGTTCATTATCTTGTTCAGCTGTCCTGTTAAATAGCAACTAGTCTTCTGATTAAGAAACTGAGATGTACTAAAGTTAAATAATTTACTAAGTAATTGAAAGGGATACTCTGGGTCCAGAACTCATGCTCCTAGCTATTGTGCTACTCTAAGTCCATGTAAATACAAGCAAAAATCTATTTCTCAGTGACAGCTGCACCCATGACCATTATTCTACCTGTAAAAGTGACATTATAAATATCTACTCACCAAAAGACTTCTTATTGCTTTCACCTTTGGAACTAGAATACAAGTGAATTTATTTTCCTCTGTGGATTTAAAACAAGTGTCGGTTTCCATTATATTCTATGCATATGTAAGCATCAAGCCTGACAGTCTCGGATTCCTTATGTACTTTACTGAAAGGAACTGTTGTGTGTAAATAGAAGTTTTAAATGATTTATCAGTTTGCATCTTTTACTTATTTTCTTCATCTTCTCTCATTTGTACCATAGTTTATATTTAAAACTATATCACTGAGATTCCATGTAAGATGCTAATACTCATTATGGGTAGGGTTCCCTCCTGTAGCTCAGAAACACATGAGACACTCAGATTTAGCTCATGGCACCTAGGAAAACTGCATTCTAATTCCTCTTCAGTCTTAGATCAGAAATAGTTTTCCTTCTGTCATATGTCACCTTAGTGATGGAAATTTAGATAGATAACATTTAGAAATACAGTACTGCCCTTGCCAATGACAAAAACTACAAAACTGAAATAAATGGTACTGGCAACAGTCCGCTGATGACTGCATAAAATGACTCAGGCACCTAATGCATATCTCTAATCCCATGTTAATAATATAATTGCTTTATGAATGAGATACCAAAATGTAGCTTACGGTACTTAAGTCAGAGTTCCTTTAGTGCCAGTTAGGATCTGAATCCAGTAACACCTCAACTTAATCCCCAACACAGTGCCCTGACCTGTCAGCCATGCGGAGGACAAAGTGATTTCCCACCCAGTTCTCCAGCCCAGTGTATATAATCCTCATTGTACTCCATCTTTGTCTTTTCCTGGGTTCACGGCAGTGGTGGTAGACATGGTGCTTGCAAGGATGTTACAGCATCCATCATCTTACAGAGTAGTGGTAGCAGCTATGGCATGTGTGCCATAGCAGGCTGTTTCTTATGGTTGAGAGCTCTAAAAGGTTTGCCCTGTGTGTGACAGTCTGTCTTTAAAACAATATTTAAAATTTCTATCTCTAGAAACCTTCCCTGCCATGAACCTTAGCTGTACTTGTGCATCTATCTTTCCTTGTGCGCCCTGTGGTGTCCATGGAGTTACCTGCAGCCCAGATTTACTTTGTCCCCTACAATTCAGGGCCTTTTCTAAGGACTGTTGCTGGACAGCTCCATGAACCAACTGAAGCGCAGCGCATTTCACTAAAACTCTTCTGCTCCCACACGACAGGCCAACCTGCTCCTAGAGTCCTCATCCAAACTCTCTATTCTTCCCTGCACCTAGAGTTGTCTTTTATTTCTCCTCCTCAGGCTGGATATTTGTTAAGAGAGCCCAGTGATGCCTGAACCTTAGCTCGCATCCTTCCTTCCGGGTATCCCTGCCAGAGCCTGCAGCACCGCCTTGCCGCACGGTGGTAGAACACAGCTCCCCGGCAGACCCGGCCCTCCATCTCTTATCCTCCCAAATTACCTGTCGTTCTTCAGCAAGGGACCCATGCTCCCCCACTACCCTCCTGCAACCTTGAATGAGCCTGTGCTGTCTGGGTTGAGCTTCTTGGGCAGCAGCCACGGCCTCCTTTGTTTGACCCAGACATCTCTGTTAAGGTTGGCTCCCAGGAGTCCCTCCACAAACTCCCTGGTCTTGTGAACACATCACACTCAAAACCTTTCCACCTGTCTGACCAAGCTGTTCCTGAATCCTCTCTTCTTTTATTCTAAATCCAGTAACATTCAAAAAATACTCGATGGGAATTACTTGTTTACTACCATGTCAGAAAGTTGCAGCTCACCGTCTCTGAATTAGGATACCGGAATTCACACTTTCCTCTCATCTGGGGGTGTTTTATTATACAGCTGGAACTTGTGGGAAACTCTTTAATCAAATGCTCATCCCCCTCCCTGACCAGGGCTGCGTTCCCCATTCTGTTTGACTCGGTGATAAGCATGTTTCTTTAATATTTCAAGTTCTTGGAAATCCTTATATTTTACTCAGTTGTAACTAACTCAGAGAATATCAAAGTGGTTCTGAATCAATGGGATTTTTATTTTTTCAAGATCATTTTATACTATTCAGTGCCTTTGATGTAGTGTTTCCTATGTCTGAGCCTGCATTCTTTTGAAAGTTGTAAAAATACATTTTTAAAAAATAGGTAGAAATAAGAATTATTCAACCTTCCTAATTTTGAAAATATCAAAAATAGGTGGATGGTTCATAATAGCTAAATAGATAGTTTTTCAGATTGCATTCAGGTTCAGAAAAGCAAAATTCTGTAAACCGTAGTATTTGGAGGAAGCTTTCTCAGATGTCTTTTCTTTCCTGAGTTATCTGCTAAACTTTCCCAGAAAGTAGTTCACTATTATCTTTCCATCATCATCTAGTAGTAAGCCTCGTGCAAAGTATTAGAAATGCACAGATGCT